GACTGCAGATACTGGGCTGTAATTACACCTTTCAGACATATACAGCAGGTGTGGCATCAATCCAGCAAGACACAAGATAACTTCTCTGCCCTCTTCCTGATTACTGCTGAAATTTAGCCAAGAGACTTCAATGTCCAACAGCATAACACGTCTGTGACCTAATACTGCCTTGAGACTCCTTTTTTCTTCACTGAGTAGCAACAAACTCATCCTATCACACTTACCACAAACTCTAACCCCAGAAACCAGCAATAGTTATTTCAGTAATCCTTTTATCTTCAAAAGACAACTTCCATACAGTCAACCAGCAAGCTTTCTCTTATGTATCTGGAGCACCTTCACTGCCCCACAGCACCACTTTACTGTTGGCACTTTTGTCCCAACACAAGACGATGGAATAGAACCAAATGCCTGCTGCCAGCTACCCACCATTTTCACCATTTCAGCACAAAGTCAAGCTGGGCACAGCCACCAATTCATCTAACAATTCCAGATACTATTAACTCCTGTACTCTTAGGTCCCTAGCCATTTTACTTATCCAATTAAAATCACTATTTTTTTTCACCTCCATGTACTATGATAAAAAGACAGTGAGCAGAGAGCATAAACAGAACTTTTAGATATGAAGTATGCATATACTGTGATTAATGAAAACGCACAGAATTTTCCATTCTTTGGTGATCACCATTTAACTTCCCTTCCTCTCTTCCCTTCTGCTACAATTCTCACATAACTTCTCTGCACAGCTCTCAGTATTTTCCTTTCTTCTTTCCTTTCTCCCTCCCTCAAGCCTTCTTCCTTCCTTCATTTCTCTAGTCCCACCCATCTCTTTTTAAGGTTTTTCTCTACAAAATTGGTTTATTCTTCCCCATATGAAGCTACAGTTATTCTATCGCACAACAATTTAGGTTGAATGGACCTCAGCAGGTCAAAGTATGCCTAATTCATTTTTGATGAGGTATCTTACGGCCTTTCTCACTCCCACCTCTCAAAATATGAGCTGCATTTGCTGTAAGATGGTTACTGCACTGCTCACAAAGCTGGAAGGAGTCAAAAAGGAAGAAAAGCAACTTTTAGATGCTCAGATATAACTGTAAGAGCAGCCTTCAGGGCTAAAAGGCAATAAAGGAAATATAAAATGCACCCTTCTGGAAAACAGATTCATGCCTATCCTAAAAATAGTATTTAAGGAATTTGATGCACTAATTCATGCAAGTTTTGCACATAAAGAATCATAACAATTTCATCAGACTAGAAGAGTATAAGTAGTTGGAATCCACTTCAAGCATGAAAGCTTTTTGTAGAAATGACGCTGATGAGCCCTTGTACCTAAGAACAACTATTTCGCAAGAACGCACTGTATCTCCCTACTTATTACAGCCTGGCCACGTAACTCCCTCCTTTATCTAGAGTAAAATTATTCAGATAGATTATCTGTAACTTTATGAAGCATCAGCTAATCTTCAGCCAAATGCTGGAATAATCTGTAATTCGAGATTCTAAAGTGCATTCAGTCCTAACATAAAATATGCATATTCAGGCCATACATTTTAGTCAAATTAAAAATATGGATGAATCACAAAGTATTTAGAAATGTAATTCCTAATTGAGTGCTTAATTTTCCACTAATTTCCAACATGAAACAAGCTTTATTTCAGTGGTAAGTAAAGGACTTAAACAGAAATTAGATACTTAAATAATGTTACAGACTGAGGCTAATCTGCAATTTCTATTTTGTTGTTTCACAGAGTAATGAATCTGTAAGCAGTGTAATTATTTTTATTTCACTAACATTTGTTATCATTTATTATTTCAAATAATAGGCTTTGAGCTAGTCTACTAACCTCCTCGAGCAAAGCTATTGGATAGATTTACATCCAAATGTCCTGGCACTACCTGCTTAAACACAGTAGACATTCTTGAAGCCCTCCTTTCAGTGCCTAAAGTTGGCCAAAAAAAGAATAGAAGATTAAAAAACTACAGCATTACTCAGACTAACACTTAACATAACTGATAAAAATGCCCTTTTCCATACAATACGGCTAATTCTTGCCAATTTTGTACTTCAGCTTTATTTTTTAAGACATGTATAGATTGGCAACAGTATGGAGATGTTAGATACAGCTAAGCAATCAACATATTTTATAACAAATGAAGCAAAACACGCACACTTTGGAAATGGTGTTATTTTGCAAGAAAAGCCACTGTTTGGCTATATTAGGCCAATTACCACGAACTGAATAAGACAAGACAGACACAATTTCAAGTCACGCACTCCTCTTTCTGAGACATTGGGGTTACCTTCACATAAACCTTAACATCACAAAATAGCTGAAATAAAACATGGATTCATTTCTTCATGGTTCCACATATGCATAACTCAAATATTGTATTTTGAAAGAGTTTTCACTGCAAGTAAAGCTCTACTTGGAACTGATGTTAAAAGTCCATTATGAGTATGTAACGCACATGAAAATGCCTATATACCTTGCATTGCTGCTGTAGCTAAATAGTTCATCTGTTCATATAGAATCTGAGCTTGCAATCTCATATTTTCTCATTATATGAAATAGAGTAGTATTTTTCATTCTCTTAAATCTGGCAGTCTTATTCAATAGAGTTTTCAACAGGCTTAATTTGTTATAAAAGACTTTAAAGTGGATCTTTGCTTCTGATTCTGTTATATAATGTAATTGTTGCATTTGATATTAAAAAAACCCCAAACCTGGAAAGATTTGGCATTTTGATACTCTGGGGAAGTTTATTTTATAATTTGTTCCAGAACTGTAATAAATTACTAATGCCTCAAGATTGGCCCATCATAGTCAAGTGAATTTCATCAAAAACTATGACCCACAGGTGGATAATTGTTTACTGTCAGATTAAGAATACTTATATTAACATTAATAAGAATTAATATAAACAATACTTATATTAATATTAAAATATTTTGGGAAAGATTATAACCATCCTTTACATATGGAAAAAAAAATTCACTGAAACTAAGAGTGAATAATCTATCTGGAAAGTGCAACAATAAAGGAACAACAGAATTCATATGGGACAACTTGAACTATCACCAAATCAGAGAAAACTCACTTTTCAACTTAACCATAGAAAAGCACTATATAAACCAATTTTACCTGGAGACAGAGCAATTGTTGGTCTAACAGTGAGAGTATTACTGCCGTTCATTTTGCAGTGGACGGATATCACATTCAGTAAGGCTTGTAGGTATTTTTCCTGTTCTATACTGCTTGAAGATTCTAAAGAAGCAGGAGCTAGAGTCACATGGAATACATTAAAATACAAGTACATTTATAAATACAAAGAATAGCAAAATAAAAGCTTACTATGTAAAGTAGAACACTGAAAATGTCATGGTTTGTCTGTCAAAAGTTCAAAATGTCACTCCTTTGATGATAAAGAATGCTCAGATGTTCATCACCTGGCTGCAGAGCAGCACCCAGCAATGTTCTCTTGCATTCCACTCCACAGAGCTAAACTTCTGAAAGAGTCTGTTAACCCCATGGTTACTACTCAGAACATTCATCATTAGCCAGTGATCAATACAAACAGAATGGAGATGATGTAGTTTTCCCTTCATTCTCAGAATAAAAAGTAACATTTCTAAATTTGTGCTACTTGTCAGCAAATTTCAACCTTTTAAAAAAATCCATAGAGAATAGATAGAACTTCGTCTTTAACAAAGTAAGTTAAACCCATACTCGACCTGCTTCTTCCTCATTCCAGTAAAGGAAGGTTACTTACCTATAACTGGAGGTTCCTTGAGATACACTGCCCATTTACTGAAAGTATACATATATCAAAAGACACCAGTGTTCATGCACTCTACTGCATTTAGAGACATCAGTGGACACAATCTACATGTCCTTCAGGTACCCTACTCCCAGAATCTGGCCTTTTTAATGGAATAAAGAAGAGAAGGAAAGAGGATGGACAGTGCATGCACACCTGGATAACACACATCAAGGGATCTCCACTTATGAAAAGTAACTTTCCTGTTCCCTAGTGACAGTCCACCTGCTCCTTCACCAGTAGGTAACTTGAGGAAGTGTCTTCCCACATGCTTAGGTAACTTGCAGGAGGGGAGGCTGCACTGTTCTGAGAACCACAGTTCCTTCTCTGAAAACCTCTGAATAATCCTTTAGGTGCATGTAGTTTCAGATGACTACTCTACATGTCTCAGAAACAGAATCATTTTCCAACTGTTACTGATGTTGCTTAAGTTGCTGGAGACCATTTCAGAGAGAGAGAGAAGTGGCTGCAAAAGACTGGATGAACGCAAAGCCAGAGAGGAAACAGACATCTTTTAAAAACAGTGGAGGTATTAAAAAAAGGCAAGATGAGAAGGTATGATGCTCTGAGAAAGTACTGAAGTTAGACAGTCCACTTAAGACAATCTTAAGATTTGAAAAAGTTAAGAAACCAATAACAAAAAACAGAATCAAGGAAAAAGAAAAGGCCAAAATAATAATTAAAAAAAAAATAAAATCTTAACCAGAAAAACTCCACCCATTTGTGTCCAGGTGCAAGGATTTAAAGGAAGGGAAGGAGATGAAGGTCAGGTCCTGGGCCATACACAAAAAAGTGTCCAGTCTCAATGAGTCAGATTTTTTTCAAATGCCAAACAAAATTTTTTGAATTCCAGTTTATTGCAGCCACCTCTGGACTCACAATAGGACAAAAATGTCATAGCTGCTTAAACCAGGATTTGTATCTTGACCAGAAGAGCCAAGGTTTAGAATAAGAGATGAAGAGAGAGAGTCAAAGAATTTGATCGAGCACATTTTGACAAACCACAATGGTAATTTATAAATAGTTTTCTCCAGTGCTGATCCAATCAGATTCTACGCTGGAGACTAATCGATGGTAACCTAATTAGCTGGAGGTGGCAAAAGAAATTTCAAGATAGACCTGATAAAATTAGTATCTAAATAGCCCTGTTAAAATTAGTGTCTGAATTGGAAGTACAATTAGGAAGTGATTAGAAAATGTACTTGCAGGAAACATCATGCTGTTTCTGGCTGACGAAGTGGAACAAGCCTGAAGAAAAACGTTATTTTCTCTTCAACTCTGAAGCAGGGTTTACACATCCTGAAATCTTGAATAATCTCTGGGTCTCCTAGTCCTTGAAGTGATGCCACAAAAAGTCAATTTAGGTCTTAACAATTTAGTTAAATGAAAGGAAATGAAATGTCTAAAAGAAAGGATAATGTCCTTACCAATTGCACTTACGAAGTTTTGTTTTGTGAAGAGTGTAGTGTGTGTTTTAGGAAAGAGACTCAAGGGATGAACAGCTTGACTTGTATGAAAGTCTGTTATTGAACTGGGCAGATACCTGAATTGAAGATTGAGGGCAATAATGTTCTTGTGAAAGATTATAGATGGAAAATTTGCCCTTCATCCTTACCCCCAATCATTCCCTCACACAGTGCTTAACAGCAGTACAAAGGGATGAAAGACTACCGGTGACTCAAAGCATGAATCCCTTACCTGCACAGGTAAACAGGGTTTTCTGTAAAATGACTGATCTTTTAAGTGTTGTACATACATGAAGGTCATCACAACAGCACAGATTTAAACAAAAGATTGGAATGGAGATCCCGGTAGCAATTTTATAAATCCCAGGAAAGAAATGCATTGCTTAGTAATGCACTAAGATTGCCTCAGCTGCTAATATGTGCTCTGTATGCCTCGTTTCAGGTTGCTCCATCTTTATCTTACAACAGGTCCTCTTTGTTTCTGTGTATCAATCCAGAACCACCGAATAAAAATCTACTCCTGTGAAATCTCTGCTTAGGAAGGTATGTATCTGTCAACTTGAATTTAACTTAAGATTACCTTTGTCCTCCCAGTTTGCACCACAACGCGTTTTTCAATATAGACTTTCCTTCATTGTACACAACTCCTACTGAGGCAAATACATGCACCTGTGTATAACTATCTTTATTGATCAGTTTCTTCAAAAGTTTTGTTTCACCAAGCTTCAACTTCATTATGAATAAAACAAATATCCTATAAATATTTTTCATTTCCCTTGCAGTACCTTCCTGAGGAGAGTCTCCGTTTTCTTCACATTTTAAAAGAAACAGTAACTCCAGAAGCTGATGTCTGACAGACACAGTTCTTGTCAATCAGATTATGTATTGCCTAATATACTGCTGGAACTATGGCAACGACAATGGCAATATAAAAGACTACACAAAATTAAAAAAAGAAACCACCTACAAAAGCAATGAGATTACACACAGGAAATGTATTTAATGGGTCAGGCTTCGAAGATCTTGTTTTGGAAGGCTCTCACACTCCTATGCACATAGAAATTATAGCTACTACAGGAAACATGAAAGTGTTTGTCTTTATATGATTTGCAGACTATTCCTGCAGATTTTTTCCAATTTATTCTATTTATACCAGGTTAAAGATGCCTGGACACTATTTCAGCTAAGACAATCAGTATTAAATCAGTTTATAAGACTAACATTTGACTTACCAGGCTTAGGATTCACACCATAAACCTGTGGAACAACTGGTGTAGGTCACAGCTTTGGCAGCTGCTATGTTAACTATCGGTAGTACTTCACTGATTCATTTTATGAATCTTTTCAACAAAAATGCATTATATAAAACTCAATTCATTACCTTGCTCATCACTTGAACTAAAAAATACCCCCACAAAACACTGAAGAGACACACTGAATCAATGCTATAGCAGTGAATATTCAGCAGATAATTACTGATTCACAAATTAGTGTTAATAGCCAGTCCAGACACTGTCTGATGTAAAAAAATGAAGATCTCTGAAATTGTGAGATGTTAAAGGGGAATCTGATATACACAAAACCTCATATAGCTAAATATTTTGTCTTATATAAACTGTTCTTTCTAAGTAATAAAATTGTGGTTTTCTTAAACATACTCTGTGAAGGAAAAATTCAGGAGGACTATGCAGAAAATATTTAAATCATGTAATCTTCAAACTACTTTTAAGCAACTTGCACATATTTGCACAGTATGCTTGTTATAGGTTTTGAAAAATTCTATAGAACAAACTATTCAGTAAAGCCAAACCCTTTAATTGCGTTTTAGTCATTATTGGGGTGAAACGCAAACATAAACAGGACTGAGGAATTTCTTTGCTACCTTAATGAGTTCCTGGTATTCTAATTCTACCTCACATTTTCTTTTTCTCAAAAAAGAAGAATCATGCCCTAATTCTAGAATAATTTCTAAGCAACTATCAGTTTGATTAAAGAGAATACTGACTTTTCTTCAGCAATATACCAAATTCACTCTTGGCATGAAATTAACTCCGAATAAGCTATCAGCATAAGAGATGGAAATCCAGGCAGTCACAATAAGAATCCTAAACACTGCCTGTGAATGATGAAAGTCAGCTAATGTTCTTTCCAAATTCCAAAATTAATGTTGCCCTCATATGCTATACTCTTCTGAAACAATCAACAATTCTGACAAATCTTATGCTGGTCCAATCTTGATCACACAAAGGAAGAGATTTACTTAACGCAAAGACCCCAACTAGAATCTTTCAGGTCTATACTTTATAAAAGAAAGATAAAAGTTAAACTAATATTAAATTGAAAAGCATGAGAGAATCCAATGGATAATGATCTCGCTAATGTTTTATATCATTCTCTATTAAAAGGGACAACATACACTCATTACATAACCCAGTGCAAAGCAAAAAGATAATTTCAGGGAAACAGGGGGAGTTTGCATTGCATTTGGCAGATGCCAGATTTTACTGAAGACTTTTGGTATGCATATAATCTCCTTTAGAATTATTCATTGACATTTTTTGAACCACTTTCACACCATTCAGGATCTGCTTCTTGACATATAGTAATTAAACTGAACTAATATAATATCAGATAACCAACCATTCATATCCTGAGACTTTTGATTCAATTGTATCACTGATTTCCTCTAGAAAAATAAGTATTTCTAGATAAAATTACTTATACAGAAAGCCTAGCTGCACCAACTCACCTGTGGTATGTGTGTTTTGGGATTTGAAGAGGCCAACAACACCTTTTCCATGAAAGCCCCCAGATCTAAGCAGAAGAGTACTGTTTTTAGTGTTCTTCCAACAGACAACTGGTAGGCGATTGTGACGGTAACAGCGGGCAACTCTCTGCAGACTGCTGTCTTGAACAGATTGAGGTATTACCAGAAGCCCAGGATAACTGTATTGACAAAAAGGGGAAAAAAATTGAACAGCAATTAATACTGCTTTCAAAATTTTAAACAAGGAAAAAAAATTCTTAAAATTACAAGCTGAATATACATCTAGATCTTAATGAAAATACACCTCATTAGACTTATTTTTTATTTAGTAACTCTCATTTTGAGTCCAATCTTAGCAAGTACATTGATTTGTAAAGAAAACTGCATTTTAAAACCAACTTTAATTATGAAAAATTTGTAAGACTATCACTACTACTCTCTTTCCATTTAAGGATATACTTTATTTGGTAATGTTTTTCTTCTTAGTATATCTCTTATCTGTCACTATAACGAAGCCATATTTTTAAGCATGACAGAAAACAGAATTTTGAGGCATGCAAATGGTGCAGTAGTTTTGTTTTGACCCTTGTATATAAAATATGAGAAATGAAAGCAAAGAATGTTAGATTGCCTGAAGTATGACAACTAAAACAATAGGTTTTGGTTTATGTCAAAATACATTTAAATTTTACAGACAGATTCCTTTGAACAGTGTATTTGAAACTGCATTTTGGTGTACTTTTTAAAACACTACAGTACATTGAGCGATTAGGAAATTCACTAATACAATAGCTTTAAAAATAGAAAGTCCAGCAAGATGGTAGTTGTGTTCACGTTAGCAAAAGAAGGATTCAAGCAATATGAAAACCTATCTTCTATCTCCTCCAAAAAAATATTCAATTTAAGTGCCGATTTCATATGTTAAGAAGAAACTAAGATGACAAGCAGGCAAATGTTAGTGCTTACTAAACAACTTTGTTCGTCTACAATATACACTGTTCCTGTAAATTCGGTTCTTTGATGTTTATTAAACTGCCCTTATACAAAATCAATGTACATAATATTTACAGTCTACTTCTTAAAGCACAATAACCAAACTAATATGGCACTAGATAAGTATTTATATCCTGAGATTTGTAATCTGCTCAGATCAGATATTTATTATCTTTTCCAAAAAATCCTATAGAATATTAAAAACTGGAGGTTTTAGGGGAAGAAAGAGTTGTCTGCATAATGTTCAAAACATAACAAAAATGTACAGATTTAATGCCTTCATCTGCACGGTACTCAATGGTGATTGAACAAAACCAGTTATTAGTCCGTTACTCTAGATAAGTCAGAAAACAAGAAAGGATCTAATATATTCTTGTGTGCTCTTCTTCCATTAAGAACTGGCAATTTCTTTGTCCATAATGAAAGCAATGACTACCCAAAACTGGCTTCAGAGAATGCAAATGCCTTTCTGATATGACTCATGCAGATACGCTTTTGTATTAAAAAGAATTTTTGTGGGCAGTGGTAGCAAACTACATCAGCCTTCACAACCAAAAATGAGTTAGTAACATTCATGTGTTAAAACACAGCCTGTGACTTTCAGCATGACAAACTTTTCACGTAGTGTAGATAACTTCATGAATTAGATTTTAAAACATGTTTTTAATTTGAAAAAAGTAGTTACGTATAACTATTTCTGAGGCTTGCTTTTTTATTTAGGAACACAATAGATTTTATATGCAAGTATTTCACATATACAATTTCCACTAGCAACACAGCAAGTTACAGAAACTGTACCGAGAAAGCGAGTTCTGCCAGGTAACACTATTGGCTAAGTCAGAAGGCTGAAAAATATCCTAATGATTTAGACATCAGTGTAGAAAGCCAAGAGAGAGAAACTCCTTCAAAAGGCAATTCAGAGTATCTAGGTTAGTTTCCTCCAAAAGCCCCAGGGGCACTCTCTTTCCGTAGGCTATAGAAAGAACCTAGGAAGGGAGACTTGCATTGTCAGACAGAGCTTGTGGGGCAGTTCTGAAAGCTTACTTCTGGCTACCATTGCTGGCACTCTTTCTGAATCTGATGAATACATACGCAGCCACCAGAAGACAAATCTCTGAGCGGAATACAAATAACTTCAAGGTCACTGGTTGAACACGGCTACTGTAGACAGAAATCTTCTCAGAATAAGTTGCTTAAATGGATACATCATGTGGTATGTGTGTTATGTGATGTTTATTTTCAACTACTTGACTGAATTGGTGAACTCACCTCCTGCAAAGTGAATACATCCTGTTCAGTGCAGTTATTCTTAAGTATTCCGTTTTCGAGCGAGAAGAGTTACTACTGATGGTCCCTAGTCCCAAACGTTGATAGTCTCTGAAACAGGCTCTTTCTACTAATTGCTCCATTGTTGATTTTTCTGATGCTTTTAGGGTACCACTTGTATGCAGCTCACTGTCATCTGAAACTAAAGTTAAAAATCTTTAAGAGTTTGCTATTGGGGAGGCCAGCAGTTACACAGAAAATGATGCTATTTTCTTCTGAACAAAATATTAGTTTGTCTTACTGTCAGTGACAAATGACAAGAACTCATATATACAAACCACAGTTTATAGAAATTATAAGCAATAAAATAATACTTCAGTGAGGAAACCTGAATATATCACAGTTACCTACTGCACTTGTGACTGGCATGGCTGACAACCCTCTTACTAAAATCCTGGAAAAAGCTATCTCATATATTCGTTTGAACTGAACCGAAGGCAGATAATCTTTCTTTCAACAGTTTATGAAGACCTGCTAAACTCACAACTGCTATAAAAAGATGTACACAAGACAGAATAACGAAAAATGTGCACATAAATTCAATAAACATCCAAGATAAAATGGACCTCGCAATTCTTTTAAGCTATCTTCAGAACATGTAACAATCTTTTTAAGGCTTGGTTCATATAAAAAAATGTTTCTGTGTCATAATTTCACAACAGATGACTGTTTGTTTCTTAATGCCTCAGTTTCAATGTCAAACAGCAGCTTTCTTCAGCAGTGCACGTCAGCTACACTTTCCAAAGCAGAAAAACCTTTAACCATGAGAGATAAAAACCATGTCACAAGTTCAGACTACGCTGAAATTCAAGTCAAGCAAGGTCTTTGTACAAAACCTGCCACCTGCCTGTTATTGACACTTCCAACTATTTCCAAATATTTTTTTTCTGAAAGCAGTTTTACTGTTCACAGCATGTATCAGTTACTTGCTACCACCTCAAGAATTGAAATATGTGCGTATGAGGGGAAGTATTTCTTCATGAATGAGGCACTGAAAAGTATGTAAGGATTTAAATTTAAAACAGGACTTTATAAAACTGGAAATTAAAATTATTTTTCAAAATAAAAATTATGACACAATTAAAATTTTATTGGCAGTACACAACATTCAGAATTTCAGGAGTAGAACCCATGTACCTTTTTTTGCGTGTATCTTAGCATAAAAGCTAAATGAATAATTTTACTGCCCCTGAGCTCATCAAACAAAACCAACAATTCTCTATTGACCTAAATAATAAAGAGTTTAACGCTGTGGATATCACCTCTTTTTTCTGTGTTTTCATATTTGTCATGGTAAGAAAGAAGTTACAAAACATTTACAAGTATAAAGTGCACTAATGAGAAACAAATTAAATGAGTTTTAGAAATAATTTTATTTTGAGGCATACAGAAACTTGGTATTTAACAGTTTTGAATGGAAAGCTATAACTGACTTAGATAAGATGAGGGTGCATTTTTTGAAATATTTTTTTTCTAAATGTGTTTTTCTCTCATGAAAACAGGCACATTGGTGACCAGCATTTGCAAAGCATTTTCCTGTGCATAAAGAGCTAGAGATTATAAGAGCTCATATCAGTGCCCTTAATCTGAAGAGATGTTTTGCTGTCTCAACTTTAATTTTTTTTTTTTAATTTGATTTTGAAAAGAAGAGGAATAATCCCTCTATTTTACTGTTGTTGAGATATGACTGTTTGTAAAAGTGAGTTTTACAGTCTCCTATTTTATGGAACACACCAGTATGATCACCTATAGGAAACAGATTTTAGTAGCATTGAGTTTCTAAACTCTGAAAATAAAAAGATGGGGAGGAATTGGAGGGAAATTAGGTGTTCATTAGCAACAACTAATAACTAGAGTACTGTACCCAGTTTTGGAAATCACATTGCAAGTTACATGTGGACCAGCTACAGAGGACTGAGAAAGGAGCAGTGAAGATGATCAGAAGTCTATCAAGACTAATAAACAACTGAAAGAACTGCAGACAGTTAATATCAAGAAAAGAACAGAGAGGAGAAATATTACAATAGTCCATAAATACATTACGCACTGCAATCAGAATGAAGGGAATCATCTCTTCTATATGTATATGGTGGCAGAATAAGAAGTGAAGGCTTTAAATCGTGGCAAGGAATTGTTTAGGCCTGAATGTCAAAGTTGTTTGTTTTTCTCCAGCATTAAAGGATGGTTAAAGCATTAGTACAAATTGCCTAGAGTTGTGGAACCTTCATCTTTGAAAGCTTCTAAGAAAAAGTTAGGTAAACACCTATGAGGAACAGGTTAAGTATGTTGATCTTGCCTTAGGGCAGAGAGATGGAGTAGATGATCTCTTGAAGTTCCTTCCAACCCTATCTTTAACATTTCTTATTTAAGACAATGCATCACCTGCTGCAGATAGTTCCCGTTTGCTTCATTGTTGTTATAGCTGCATAGTTTCCTATACTTCAGTTTTTGAGACTTGCAAACCAAAAGTAATTCACAGCAGTCAACATAAAAGAAAATGCCATGATTAAATAGCAAATTTCCTATGGCTATTTTGTACTATGTCTGAAGCAAAGAGTTACTACTGTTGTCAGCTGACTATACCTGAAGTGTCAGTGCAGAGAAAAGCAAACTGTCCGACTCTGATCACCTTACATGTTCCCAGTCAAAACATCTGGAAAGCAGCAGGTAGGAAGCCTCACAATTTATATTTTTATATTTTTGTTAGGGGAGGAAAAAAGTGACTGTCACTAATGTTTATGTAACACCTGTGCTCATAGAAGAATGTAGTTGTTTTGTACATCAGCAATGCAAAAACTCTTAAAATTTCTTCATCGTCAAGAGAAGTACGAATACACAGCTATGATTGTGCTTGGTTCCTCTGGGAGAAGAACGCAAAATCACCCGAAAATCACACAGGTACACCCTGCAGAATTGCTTCTGACCCAAAGAATCTGCAACATCAGAATGCATACTAACTCAGCACTTAAGGAAGATGCTGGAAATTCAATTAAGAACATAATTTTTCGGCACTGTAAAGACATTCTGTATTTTGTAATCCTCTCTTTTTGCCTTTTTTCCAGCACTTTTATCTGGAATGAAAGAAGAGAATCAATATTTTCTAGCTTTTCTGGAATGGCTTTCTTCCATTTTGGAGAGAACAGAGACAGTTGCAATAACACAGTCCTGCTTCAGATAACTTTTATATATCTGCTCGTAAGTCACATAAGTTGCCTTGCTGACTGACCAAATATTCAAAAGGAAAATTTGGCTTGTTTGAGGTTTTGGAGAAATTATTAGTGTTTGATAAACACTTGTTATGTGAAATGCTTTTTTTTTTTTTCCCCCAAAAAAAGAAAGAATGGTATGACAAAACAATACCTGTTTATGTACAGGAGAATCTGGTTCCCTCTAGTGGTTTATTATAAATTAGCACTGGTCCAGATAAGGATATACTGACAGCAGCACATGGTAGGAAAAGAAGTATTTGGAAGAAAGTCAAACTCCACACCATCACATGAACTATACAAAGTGTCCAAATCACTTTCTACCTTCTGTCCCCAAATCCTTTCAACCAAAATTTGGAAAAATGATATTTTCAGTAGTAATGATGCCTTCTGCTGCTTTCAGAAATCATTTGTCACTTCCACATCCGCAAAAGCCTCCCATAGTATTTGCTCTTTCTTCAATCTCACCAATTACTGCTTTCTCATCATAGACTAATTGCAGATGTCATGATGTCTAAAGATGAATGGAAGCTACAGCATGCTTCTGTGCTGTTCCATCTACACTATGATGATGTAAAAAATGATAAAAAGATACTATATGCAAATAGTTTGATAATTAAAAAATAATAATCTATTATTTTGCTTTACCACTGAAGTCAACTTCCTCTTTTGCCTCGTCATCACAAAAGAAAACACTTACTAAATGTACATATTTGAAACCTTTCTCTTTCCTGTCTAGGAAGACTCTGCAATTTCTTCTTGAAGATACTACTTATTCAATATATTGGAATGGAAGTGTAATAGGAGACTTATCAACCAACATGGAAAAAAGTGTTTTACTATTACCAGAGATATCATCATCTTCATTCCAGCCTGGGCGATTCCCTCTTTCTTCCACTATTGTGCCTGTCTTCTTCTTTAATAAATATTGGCGTCCAATTGTCATCTTCCCAGCACGTTTTGCTCCTTTCACAATGCTTTTTGAGAAGGTACTACAAATTCATAGCAACAAAAATATTTAGAAAGATGCATATGATTCTCCCCGATAGCATGTACAGATTTTTATGATGAACCCACTCACCCAAATAAAATGTATTTCATAATTTTTCATTTAATATAACAACAAAAATTATAAACTCCAGAAAAATGACTTCCTACATGTCCTGGTTAAACTATGGCACTATATTAATTTTTAAACACAAATTTTATTATTTTGAGATAAATCTGTGTCTGTTATGTGTAACAGTAATGAATAAGCAGCCATCCCCTTTCTTTAGGTATTTGTATTTTGCTGGCAATGTGATAAATCTACAAAGCTGACAAAGTAAGGGCAGGAAAGACAGAAATTACCTTAAAGTTTTAGGATTCTATGACTAGCTTAGGGTTCTACTTTCCTGTGTCAACAATGCAATAATCAACAGAGAATCACAGGAACTATCACTCTAGAACAGACTAATGATCCATCTAGTCTAGTAAAAATTAATGTATAAGATAAACTTAGAAAGAGGACTCAAAGCTCAGACTCTAGATTAACAAACACTAGGACAACTGTACAAACTGTACGAAGGGTAAAATTCATTCTAACCCACGTTACGTTATTAACCTATAAATTAATACACAAGAAACTTGGTTTTTATGTTGGCATAGTTTGCACAGCTGAAGATGCTACTTACATGCTGTGTTTCAAAATGTAATGAGATGCTTGTTCAAATTTACTGCAGACAGAAATTTGGATAAAGAATATATTCTTATACCAAACTGACATGTATATCATATTAATCTACCTTTTTATTCAGTAAATATAAAAAGATGCAGAACAGCTATCAGTTATTTTGACTTTCCTGAAAACTGCTTGAATGATCTGCATTTCTGCAAAGCTGTCATTGTTCAATGTATTTGACTAATACTAAACAAGAACATCAGTAATAAAAGAAGAATGACTATACCGGAATGAAGTGTTCTTTTCTTTTTGTTTTGGTAAAATTATCTGTGGTGCTGTTTGCCCAGCTGCAAATGCAAAAGTGCTGAAGATAGATTGAGGATAACGGAACTTCATTAACTGTTTCTTAAATATTTCCACCACTTCAGGACTTACTTCTTCATCAAATGCTACTTTAATTAACTGCATATTAAAGACATGACATGTTAGAAACTGAAAAAAAAATTATAGAATTAAAGAAATCAAAAGATCCTAAAATGTATTAGCAGAATTCCCATACTTATGCAGTACTATGCCCATCGGAAAATACATACGTACATATATCTTATTGATTTTGAGGGATATTACACAGCTTATTAATTTTTTATTTAATTTTTACATTTATGTCCTAATACTAAGGTATTTTCACTAAGCATCTGGAATTCTCATGATATCAAATACAAAATATTTTGGTAAATCCAAGTAGTAGTGCTGGCACTAAGATGTCTACAACAGTTCAAATACTAGTCACACGGGACAGCTTAGCTTGGAAACACTCTGCCAGCTCTACCCATATTCTGGGAACTAAGGTTGGTAACGCACTTCAAAGACTCTCATCAAACCAATAATTTCAGCATTCATACGTCACAACCATTATACTTCCTTTACTTAGTCATTCCAATTTTTGCCTCACCTTGCAAAGTATAGAAAACGGCTGATCATAAAAACGTAATAGTGAAATCTGATCCTTAAAAAGGAACTAACCTTATGCTATTGAACACTGATCCATCCACCCCACTTAAAATGCCTTTTGAAAGGTTTGGG